GCCATGTTAATATTACTATTTCTAATGATAATGCCACATTTTGGCCTATCATTGTTATCACACTTATGTAGAACTTGCCACTTGCCGAAATGGACAATTTTGTTTTTGATAGTGTAAGGCTCCTGTATAAGAATCATGTCAGCATTGAGGTCATTGGCCGTTTTAATTACCTTTGATAAAGCAGCCTGACTTTTCTGAGTATTAATTTGGAGCAGTTTTAAGTCTAAGTTAGACATTAATAGGGATAGTAAAAGTAAGTTCGATAAGGCCGTGTTAGTCATATAATTATTCATAAGTTGTCTGTTGCACCAGCATCTTTTTATATCCTTTTAGTATTGGGCAGGCTGGTGAGAAGGCATTGTGATCAGTCCTTTATTTTTATCCCTCTGGCTGGTTTTTATTCGCCTTGGAGCAGTGAACACATTTTGGTTTGTCCTGTTTGTGAGGACACTCACTATACTTATGCTTTCTCACGCAGTGGCTGCATCTCTCACACTGATCACAGCTGGCCACCATCTGCCCATATCCCGTACATCTAAAACATCACAAAACCAGGATGTAATCATCCACTGGGAGTGTTCCCCACTCGTAGCTGATGTGTTTCATCGAGATTAAGATATTCCAAATCGCAGGGGAGACTAACATCACCATTTGCCATTTATCTGCTGCTCACTTGGAGTTAATAGCATGTATTATTTTTGTCTCTCGACTGAAGTTTTCTAGCGATAGTTTATCTTTTAACTCAGAGTTTTGCTCGTATATCTTTCATATTAGTTCAGCTTTCTCCACTGAACTGGGAACATTTAGCACAGTGACCCTCGGTCTCTTTCTTTGCGGTCTCATGATCTTAATTTTTTCATTAATTTCCGGCAATTTTTCTATTGCCTTCTTTAGATTATTTGCATCTTGTTTGGTTTTTATCCTGAATTTAATACTTCCTCGTGGCAATACTGATACCATTCTCACTCCTATGCTTAGATTGGCCAGGTCAATTTTTTCCTGGATGTTGGACATTACCTCCTCCGGACATAATGCTTCTCCTTCCTCTGTAGTTATTGGTTTGATGATTAGATCTTGCACTTTTGATGCTGCTTCACCTTTTTCAGCTACTGTTTTGGCGATGATGTTAGTTGTTTGGCTGCCGATAGATCCTTTGCATTTTACCATCTTGGCAAAAGTGTCTTTTTCTTCCTTCCCTTTTGACCTCAGCGCCAGTACCATGCCATAAAGATTATTCGCAGCAGCATGCATTTTCAATGCTGCCTGCCTGATGCTTTTTCTGTTATTTACTGACACAGAACTGTGCGAGTTGGCTGGTAGGGCTTGCATAATTATGGCCAGTCCCTGTGAAATAAATAGTTTCTAGAAGATTTTTCTCGGGAAGATCCATAGGTAGATCACACTGGTAGCAAGACTTCACCTGAACAAAACAAAAACAAAACAAAACCCACGACCATAGAAATTAGTACTCCAAACATCAATGTTCAACAGCATGACGCACTAGTCTACCGAAGTTGACCAACCCCCAGGTCCAAGTGACAGACGACGCACTAGTCTACCGAAGTTGACCAACCCCCAGGTCCAAGTGACAGACGACGCACTAGTCTGAGACTAGCACTCTAGCACCCGACAAATTTAATATAAACCACGAATAAAAGTCCACTGGCCACTTACCTGGAGTCCCTGCAAGTAACCCAGCTGCAGTTGTCTTTATCCTTGTGATGCTGGAGAGAAAGTTCCAATAATCCTTCAAGTTCCACTGGAAAGTTGATGAAAGTATAAACACACTGTAGACACCTTGAACAGCTTGTTGAAGTCCCTGCACACAATGGCTAGGAAGTCCAACCACGCTCTCCATATTTTTCACAAACACATCCAAGTACACATTAGACCAACTTAGAATGTACAAGGATATTGTGAAGGTATAAATAAAACCAGTAAATTTCAGAAAGCTTCCTACATCTTTCGTTGTTTTACGCACGCATATGTGACCAATTAGATAGATAATAGGAATTATCGAAAAGCACGTAGAAAGTGTGATGATGTCAGATACTCAAAACTTGTAAATATCCACTGTGATGTTGGAATTAACGCAAATGTCATCAAAAACACTTAATACACTGAACTGCTTCTTCGTAAGACAGTGTTGCATTTAACAACACACTTTTTATCTTACCAGACTCTGTTGGAGAATTATTCAACTTGATTTTTAATACTTTCTGTACACAGAAAACCAGCAAATTGTGTCTTGTGGCGTTGTTGTTCTTTACAAGATTTTGCCCTTGCATAAGACTGACAAACAGTAGTGTTCCAGAGTATAACAAATAGATACCACGTGATTTCAATTGCAGAACAAAGGATTTGGCGACAGACTGTAGCTTTTCTGTTGACATCGGCTTCTTGGGTGTTGTTTCGACCTCTATCAAAGCTTATCTCTGCTTATTGACATTCACTGGCGATTATTCAAATGTATAATAATGTAACTAAATATTCGGTTTTTCACCAATGTATTTTGTATGTGTTGACAATCACCGGAGAATATCGACATTATCTAATTTCAATCTTTCACAGTAACATATATATATATATATACATACATATTATTCCTGAATGCATGTCTCTATTATAAAAGTTAAAGAACAACTCTGTCTACAGGGCTGAAAAGAGGTCTAATAGATTTAAAATTTCAAGGGGAGTCTAATGGTGTAATTTAAATTTATTAAAATGGCATTTCTGCTTAGATATTAATTAAAATTTGCACATAGTGTAGAATAAGTAGTATAGAAAAATTAAAATATTATTGAATTAACTCAAGCCACTTTTTAATTAAAAATTATCTTTTGCAAATATTACTTGGTATTGCATTACACATTTCATTATTTTTTTAGCTGTTTCCATCAGTTTGTCTTATAAACTTGCATTTTATTGTAGTTTTTGTTTCATTTCACTCCTCATGTAGATGCTATTTATATTAACGTTAATTAATTTATTAATTTTGATTTGAATTGTTTAATTAATTTATTAATTTATATNATTATCTTTTGCAAATATTACTTGGTATTGCATTACACATTTCATTATTTTTTTAGCTGTTTCCATCAGTTTGTCTTATAAACTTACATTTTATTGTAGTTTTTGTTTCATTTCACTCCTCATGTAGATGCTATTTATATTAACGTTAATTAATTTATTAATTTTGATTTGAATTGTTTAATTAATTTATTAATTTATATATAAAATATCAATTAATAAATCATGTATATCTTGTATGTTAATTTAGAAACAATACTAAAACAGGTAGCCCTCATTTACACCACAGTTCCGTTCCTACAAAAGTCGGCGCAAATCGAATCGGAGTAAAATGAACCCATATTTACAGTGAGGTAGAGGGTTAATTCCAAATCGCAGGGGAGACCAACATCACCATTTGCCATTTATCTGCTGCTCACTTGGAGTTAATAGCATGTATTATTTTTGTCTCTCGACTGAAGTTTTCTAGCGATAGTTTATCTTTTAACTCAGAGTTTTGCTCGTATATCTTTCATATTAGTTCAGCTTTCTCCACTGAACTGGGAACATTTAGCACAGTGACCCTCGGTCTCTTTCTTTGCGGTCTCATGATCTTAATTTTTTCATTAATTTCCGGCAATTTTTCTATTGCCTTCTTTAGATTATTTGCATCTTGTTTGGTTTTTATCCTGAATTTAATACTTCCTCGTGGCAATACTGATACCATTCTCACTCCTATGCTTAGATTGGCCAGGTCAATTTTTTCCTGGATGTTGGACATTACCTCCTCCGGACATAATGCTTCTCCTTCCTCTGTAGTTATTGGTTTGATGATTAGATCTTGCACTTTTGATGCTGCTTCACCTTTTTCAGCTACTGTTTTGGCGATGATGTTAGTTGTTTGGCTGCCGATAGATCCTTTGCATTTTACCATCTTGGCAAAAGTGTCTTTTTCTTCCTTCCCTTTTGACCTCAGCGCCAGTACCATGCCATAAAGATTATTCGCAGCAGCATGCATTTCCAATGCTGCCTGCCTGATGCTTTTTCTGTTATTTACTGACACAGAACTGTGCGAGTTGGCTGGTAGGGCTTGCATAATTATGGCCAGTCCCTGTGAAATAAATAGTTTCTAGAAGATTTTTCTCGGGAAGATCCATAGGTAGATCACACTGGTAGCAAGACTTCACCTGAACAAAACAAAAACAAAACAAAACCCACGACCATAGAAATTAGTACTCCAAACATCAATGTTCAACAGCATGACGCACTAGTCTACCGAAGTTGACCAACCCCCAGGTCCAAGTGACAGACGACGCACTAGTCTACGANTTTTGAACACAATGTGTTTTTAGGAATACATCAAGACGTGTGTCATGGTATAAGTACTGATATTAGTTATAGAATATAGGTTTATACAGTACTTTCCTTAGTAGAAAGTTTCCTTATAAACTGCAAATGATTCTGCTTTTCTTATTACCTGTGTTAAGTGTACAAAATGTGCATATACAGTACATTTGCTCCACAAATAACATATTAATACAAGAGTGAAATGAATGATATCTTTTATTTTTTTGTTAAATAAATAAAAATAAACATTTACTCTCATATGGAACATTTATATCGTTGGCTCCGCGTAAGTTACTCGACTATATTAATTAAAAGATAGTTCCGAGAATTGACGCGCGGAGGCGTCAACTTCCGCACGCTTTCCGGAACAAGATGGCGGCGAAAAGATCAAACAGACACCGAATTCTCTCATCTCGTTTCTTTTTTTTTTTCTCTATCGAGGAACGATAGACCCGTCGACGGAAACCGAGGAACGATAGACGGCGGAGATATTTATATTAACGTTCAAGAAATAAGTCGATAAAACTCGCCACTTCGTTAAACACGCGAAGCGATTGTCGGAAGAAATTAGGATTAAAATTAGTCGAAAATATTGTAAAAAAAGGCGATTATGTAAGTAAAAATCGAGTGGAATATAGTTTTACCTCTGGCCATGGCGATTTCTCGAGAGACCGAACGGACGTAAATTATTCCTTCCGAAAGCGAAAACGAAACCTCAGAAAAAATTTCCCGCCGACGACAGATGGCGACACTAGTACCGGCGCAAAAAACGGAACCGGAATCGGCTTTTCCGAAAACGTGCTCCGTCATTCATTTCATCTTCCGGTTCCGAAGCAGTTTGGCATATTAGTGAGGGGGGGGTTAGATTAACTGGTGATAAGTGAATAAAATATCTTTTTTAAAAAATATATTACATCTCAATTTGAGAAAGTATTCCTTAAATATCAATAACAGAATATAAATGCCCCTTTAGCTTCTTTTTTCTTTGAAACACTGCTCGCAACAATTATGAATGGTACAGCATGATTACCCAAATTTTCACAAGCTCTGCTTGACATTCTCTCATGTTTCTGCTACAAAGCAAGCTATTTCAAGCAAGCACTGCTGTTCTAGCTAATTAACATTCACTCTAAACAAAGGCTGAAAACAAACTGACTTTACACTTAATTCTATTTGATATCCTTGAATATCTGCACAATCCAGTGGTCATGTTAGATATCAGAGACTAGCAGCCTCTGATATCTAATTCCTCAATAGCATGTTTTAAAATTCTGGACAGAACTTGGTATTAGATAGGAAAAGAAAATGCTGCCATGACTTATGAAGAAACTCTCATATCAGTGAAGCTTCAAACTTAATAGTAACTTAGTAGTCTTTTATTCTTCTTCTTCAAATGTCATCTCCATTCCAAAATTTGGCAATCATCATAGCCATCTTCTCTTTTGTCACTGCTGCTCTGAAAAGTTGGCTGAAACTACAGTTATTATTACAGTTATATTCTTTTATTAGATTTCAATATTTTTGTTAAGCATAAATAAATAATTAAAAGAATTGGTATTAAAGACATCTAAAGTTATTAGTTATATAATTTTAATAATTCAATAATTAAATTTTTTTATTGATAATTTACACTATAAAGAAAAACAATTGTTTAGAATAACATTTCATCACAGTTAAATTTCTTTAATCATTGATTAACATACAAAATAAAAAAAAATAGTATAGTAAAATATAGCAGTTTTATTTTATTATCTAACTTACTTTAAAAGGAATTACCAAATTCAGATAATAAACTAGACAAATTTGCAATTATAATTAAGACAAAACAACAAAATACAGATAATGAAACCAGCAATTAAAATAATGATTAATTTCTGGTAGATCATTATGACCTATATAAAATTAAGAAGAATCAGAAAATGAACTATTGTATGTTCACTTCATTTCTAAAGATCTCTCACTTACAAAATTATAATTTTGAAATAATTTTCTAAGAAAGCATTTGTTCATGTTTAGAGTATCATCATTATCAATCCCTTTTCCCTCTCATTAATTTAAGGAGTTAAGCCTTGGCCTGGTAGCCATTCAAACTATCCTATTTTAAGCTCTCTCTTTGTTTAACTTTAACTCTTTTAAAATCTTTTCAAAGTGCCAATTCCCAATTTTTCTTTGGCCTATCTCTTTCTACTTCTCTTAGTTCCTAAGTGAACTTTCCTAACTTTTCTAACCAATTTATAATCATTTATTCTATCTACCTGTCCAAGCCACCCAAGTCTTGTTTTAATAAGTTCCTTTTTAATGTCTTTTGCTTCTAAACTAAGATTTATATGTTCATTCTTAATCCTATCAGCTAAGATAACCACACACAAATCTGACCATCCTCATCTGCTAATTGCATCATTTTTACCTGAATTTCTTTCTTCCTCAATATTCAGTTTTAGCAACTGTTATATAAAACTTTTCCTTTAATCTATCTGGTATTCTTTTATCAAAGCATTCTGCCAATTTTGCCATTCTATACTTATTCTGTTTGCTATATTTGTGTCTAACTCTTCTCCTCTTTTTAACATTAATTCTATGTATTTAAATTTTTTCACTCTTTTTATTTCATCTCTCCAATAAACCTGTACCTTTCTCTCCTTACCACTAAAAAGGAGACGGCACGACGGTGGGATCACTGATTTTGATCAAACTAAATGAAGTTATAGTGCATCCCCAACAACTGACATGTGTCAAGCAGTAAGGCACAACACTCAAAATTAAATAAGAAAATTGAGGTTAAAAATTGTAAATCACTTAAAACTTACAGAATTACCATGATTTGTAGAGTGGGTGGTGGCTTGGTGGAGATGCAGCAGTTTCATAATCATGAGGTTCGTATTTTGAATCTCAGTGGTATAAATTTTTTTATACAAAACTATAATTTTTAATTTATTCTTGGTATTTTTAAATTTATTATATTTAAAAGTTATTTTCATGCACTGTATATGGAATTTGTATCACCTCTAAGCCTTTAGATTTCTGGTACAGTTCAAATAAACTAGATGAACAAACATTTTTGATTCTTTATTTATTCAATTCAGTATTTTCTCTTAGAAAGTGGTATGGAATTTGTACTAACATTTATTTACAATTTATTTGGGAAGAGGTTTAGATTTAAACAAAATTATCATTATTCAAAGCCAATTTTGTTAATAAAAAAACATTTTTATTAACATTATTCAATCTGTTTGCTTTCCATAAGCACAATTCTGTGAATGATAATTGTCATAGAAGCATATCAAACAATAAACATTTCTGCAGTGTGTGCATTGAATAAATGAAGATTTTTACAATAACAAGTTTATATAGTGTACTGTACAGTACATACAGTAAAAACAAACTTGATTAATGTTTAAAAACACTTCTCTATCATCAACTAATTTGGAGGAGTTTCACTCATATTGTATCACATTGGAAAATATCAGAGTACTTGATGTTTTTTTTTTCTACCACCTTTGCAACTTCTGAAATTGATGAAGACCCTCCAAACTCTGAGGATTTGATAAACAGCATAAAAACTTACATGTTGGATGGCTATTACTCTGGCTACATGACAAATTCTCACCCAGGGAAGAAACAACCTACAGGATAAATTTTGATGGTGACCATAGTCAGGAATGTAATATTAAGTGGCAAGTTTATACCAATGGATCCAGGAGTGACAAAGGAACAGGGGCTGCCTTTGTGATTTACGACAGCAATGCAAAGGTTAACTACCAACAGTACTTTAGATTGAAGAACCATTGTTTAAACAACCAAGCAGAGTTGCTTGCTATTTATAGGGTCCTACTACAAATAACTAGTAACAAAAATGTTTACAAGGGCAACATCAGTATAAACAAATAGCAAGTATATCCTTCACACTATTACCAACAGCGAGAGCATGACAACCGGCCTTAACATCAAACACTCGCCTAAGGAACCTGGCTAAATCCAACCAGCTAATGCTCAACTGGATCCCTGGGCACTCAGGGGTCAGTGGGAATGAACAAGCAGATTCACTGGCAAAGAAGGCAGCTACTCTAAATATTGGGTGCTCCTTCTCCCAAATCCCAATTATTTACATCAGTAACTTCACCAATAGCCATATCCTGGATGAATGGCAATCTGAGTGGACTAGCTCCACTACTGGCAGGATCACCTATAGCTTCCTTCCCTCCGTCCATCACTGGCAGCTAATGTATTTGTGTAGCTGCCAGTGATGAACCCAACCACATTATCATTCAGTGTGTGACAGGACATGGAAACTTTCCTGCTTATCTCCATCATTTCGAAAAGACTAATAGTGACATGTATAGCTGTGCTGGCACTTCTGTGGGGAATGTTCTCCACTACATCTTTGACAGCCCAAAGCATGATAATCACAGGGTACAGCTTATTCGCCATTGCCTACAAAATGGTCTGGCATGGCCTGCGGAACTCAGCTCACTGTGTGCAAACAAGGAGACCTACAAGATCTTCTCAAGTTTTGTTAGGACATGGGACTTGTTGGAGTACAACAACATAGCCAACCCACCAACAGGAATTGGATAATGCTTGTCATGAATACAACTGTGTCATCACATTATTTGTTTTCAACTGTGAATCATCATTGTAATTACTTGTTCTCAGCATGTTAATATGTATGCATATTGTCTGCTGATACCTCATCGGTAATTAGTTATTGTATTCATTCCTCTGGCCAGAATGGCATTTCTTGTTATTTGTAATATTTTATATCGTCTTATCTTTAAATTCTGCATTGCATGTCAGGACTGTGTATTCACCCTACTCTAAATTCTTCCTCAGCTATTTTCTACATCTCTCCTCCTCCTAATATTACTCATCTTAACCTTCATTCCTTTTTCCCATACCCCATTTCTTACCTTATCCTCACCTTCTTTCTAGGATAAGTCCTCTTAGACAACCAGTCTCTTTTCTTTACATAATAATAATAATAATATTTCATGGTCACTAGCACATCTTCTATGGGCTTCACTGTAGAGTCGAGTTCATTCTCAAAATTTAATGAGCTGATTTTGATAAAATTTTGCTTTTTTCCATTAATTGTGATGACAAATCCAAAAATGTAATGAGGATCCATAGAAATGTACCTAATTTATAAATTCTTTTTTTAATAGCTTTGGCATACTTTTTTAATTATATCAGAATAAAAATTATAAAAAGCAGTTATTGTAACTAACACTAGATATAACAAAACCTTGGTAAGAGTGGTTTAAATGATACATTTTTACACTAAGAAATACAAATTTTTCAATTTTTGAAGCAACAAAAAGATAGATTTTTCAGAAAATGATAATTTAATTTTCAGACAGTTGCATTTATAATTTGTTTTGTGTTTACTGTTAGTCACATCTTTGTCAATTATTCTCAATACCAATTAAGAAACAGAACTGCTTTATTAAAAATTTCTTGACAATTCATCAACTCCTAGTGCCACCATTTCTATTTTGTTTTTTAGAGTGGTTAAAATTTTAAGCTTAATAATTTATATATAGAGAGTAGATTAATTAAGTTTCTATATTTTATGAATCTGACATTTCATTAAAATAGATTTATACAACTTCATTTCTGCAATTTCTTAATTCAAAGTAAATTTCATTCTTTGCGTAATGTGAAATATTCTAAATATATTTGATAATCATTGACTATAAAATACATCCTTTATTTAAAGCTATTATATTAGGGTGGCTCAAATGAAAACAGAACAGTAGCCATTATTTATTTTCAAATGTAATCACCAAAATTACACAAGCACTTGTCCCACTGTTGCACCAAGCAGTGAATACCTCGTTCATAGAAAGAGTTTGGCTGAGATTGAAACCAGTTTTGAACAGTGTCCATGACTTTGCTGTCCGATTGAAAACGTCAACCCCGCAATGCTTTTTTTAGCGGACCAAAGATGTGAAAGTCACATGGTGAAAGGTTGGGGCTGTATGGTGGGTGTTCCTACCCACTCCACCGAAACTTCGCAAACATGCTCAGTGTGTGAGTGGCTGTATGTGGTCGTGCATTGTCGTGGAGCAAAAGCACTCCAGAGGACAATGAAAACAGTGTACGGAGAATACTGTTTTCATTGTCCTCTGGACCACAACCATTACAAGTGCTAAAGATATTTCCATATTCTTGATACCCACATGTAGTTAGCAGTGTAATGATCTATGATGGCTTTTGTGAATCACACTTATGACAAATTGTTAAACTCCATTTTAACAATGTTGTTATTAACAAATTTTCATGAATAAAAGCTTATATTAATTCCTTTTTTCATATTTAATGATTGTATGTGGTTTATAAATCTGGTTTTATATACATATTTTCAGAAATATTTTATGTATCTATTATCAATATAAATATAAGTTACTGATAAACACCAATAGTTTTTTCTACAATATTTTAATACAATAATTTTAAATTAGTTCAATAAATATAACAATTAAATAAAAGCACTATACTTGAACTGTTGGAAAAGTCTTTCTTTTGTGAGACGAATCTTTTCCTGTTAAAGCTCCATGAGATCCTTTTTCACTTCCGTATCGAAATCTCATTCTATTTGTTGGTTGATTTATAATTCTGATATATGGGTCACCTATAATATAATTTTAATAAAATACAATTAAACTTAAATTGAGGCAAAAATATTAAATTATCTATATAATATTTTATATTCAGATTGAATTGTATACCCTTAACAGATTAATCAAAGAACTATTATCATAAAATATAGCAAAATAATTTGCAAAATAACTGTAATTTACATTAACTCTTATTAACTCAACTTTGAAATATTTTAAGTTTTGATGATGATAAATCTTATTATATGCATAAAAATAAAAATAGAATGATATACATTAACTCCAGGTAATACTACCATCTTATAAATGGAAGTAAATATATGCACATCCCATGTAAGGTGTGCATTCATTATTATAAACAGTAAAAAATGCAGAATCATTTGCAATTTGTAAGCAAACTTTTTACTAAAATAAGAACACTGCTTAAGCTATGCTCTATAACAAAACTTGGTAATTACACTGTAACTGGAATCTCAATGTATGCCTGGAAACATCTTTCTGCTCAAAATATGGAGGAAATAAATTTACACTCATCCTGCACTTTAAGCCATTGCTCAGCTGCATATGCATAAACTTTTGCTGTTTTGTGTTTTGTACTGTACAGTTGCCCATATACATACAAATGATAGTATAAAAACCAGTGCAATCTCAGCATTGTTCAGAACCTAAAAAATGGCAAGAAATGGCAATTGTGATATGTTACAAAATAACTGCAAAGCATTATAAGGTTAGTTTGATATATAATGGCAAGAAAGATGTTAGAACTGATGATCTATGAGCAGATCATCCAGAAAAAATACAATAAAGTGATTATGTGACAGACTTCTTGGGAGTTTTGAATTGTGTTTGAATAAGTCTACTCTCAGAACATTCCTCAGACAAGAAAAGATTGCTGCAGTGCCTGTACACATCAATGATAAACTGCCAACTACTCCCAGTGAAGATCAAATNCCTAAACAGATGCGAGAACGAAACTAGAAATTCAAACGACTCGAATGTCTTCTCTATCGTATTCGACGTTTTTGTAAAGGATATACGTAATATTAAAACTATCTAAAACAACTACAATTAACTTAACTTACTACTTACTTCGAGAATTTTACGAGAAGAATTCGGAGAAACTCGATAAAACACTATAAATGTAAGAAAAACCGGAGCTCAGAAGACGAGGCGAAGGAGAGGACCAGAATAAAACTCATTTAAATTAAAAGAAAACAAAATAAATCATTAGCGGTAAAGAAAGATTTCACCAGATACAGAGCCGAAACGTTGATACTGAAGAAAGCAAAAGAGTAGGCGTTTTTATAGCGCAAGAAGTGTCACTCCATTTGTCTTTTACGTGCCTATTAATTGGCTACTGGGCTACTGGCTTCGTCACTTCTCTGACGGCAGATTATGGTCCAGCCACGATCCGGACATCGATCCGTAAGGTTTCTTTCTGTACGGTTTCCCGAAAAGTTGTACCGACGAAGACCAGATGGAACCGCGTGGCAAATCAGTACCGAAACCATACGTAATGCGCCACTCTCAGTTTATTTTGCGTCCACTTTCGAAGACGGGAAACGTCCCTAAGGAAAATTATGTATGAAAGTTTCGTGGACGGTGCCGACGGCGGAAAATAATGCGACTAGACAGAGGTGTCCGAAACGAGATCGGACACCTCTGTATACGTTGGCAACGCGATCATTTTACTCTTTTATATCCGTTTTTTTTAAAACGATTTGTAATTTCGCATCGCGACTCCGAAAGAGGAGGAGAACGTACACATTACTCACCATTGTTAGCCGAACGAAGCGAGAAAGGTGGACGACGGACGATGAGGAGGACGGGCGGGTATATAGAGGACAGGGAGCCCGCCATTGGATGTCCGTCGACCAATGGGTCGGGCCTCGACAGGGAAAATCCCGGACCGGGTGAAGGCCGGGCCCGAAAGAGGCCCGGGGCGTCGCGCGCTCGTTGTCGGGAATTACCGACTCGACGACCACGACAATCCGCTCGGTAGCCTCCCTCGATCCCTCCCTCCTAACATTTTCCCGAAGACGTGCGAATAGGGGAGGAGCCGGTAAGAAGACAACTTCCTTCGCAAAGCGAAGGACAAAAGAAACGACTAAAATCATAAAAAATAATCTGAAAACCAAGAAAAGAAGACCGAAACGGATAGTACGAAGAAAAGACTGAAGGTTTTTTTTCCTCTTTGGCTAAAAGATGCGTGGTAACTGTTAAAACAGGAGGTACAGTACGGTACTCGTTTCAAGGCTGTCTTTTAGAAACGAAACGCAAAATTCCCATTTCAATAAAGATTAAGAGAAACAAAACCCATCAAAACAGATACTGTAATCTTAATTAACATAAAAAAATAATTAATTTTATTTAATTCACTTAAATTTTATTCGGTAACACTTCGTTAAAAAGTTGTTCGAATATCCGTCTTCTTTACTCGGTTTAAATGGATCGTTTCTAATAACAAAAAGTACGGAAAAATAAGAACGAGTACGTGTGGTAATTTCGTCCATCTTTAATTTAATCAACTGTCGATTCGAATCGTATTTTACAAATTACATTTCTTTAAATATTAAATCACAACGTAATTAAATATCATAAAGAAACGAAAGTGTTCGGGATGAATCGAATTTACTGTGACGAAATGTAAATCGTCTTTCGTTCTCTGGTAAAATGTTGTTTTTTTTATATATAAACGTGACAAAAGTATTTACTACGCTACGTCTCAATACAAAAACGTTTTCTCTTTATGTTCTTATGCATAATTTAGTAGGCTAACTTTGTCCGCCCGTCGTATTTAAATGCGAACAATTGGAGTCTTTATTTTGTTAATTGTTTAATCCCGGCAATTATTGATATTTTGAACGTTTCTTAATTCACATAACTGTTATTACTTTTAATAACGAGTCCATTTAACAGTATAAACTATAAGAGAAAATTGTTCCAATAATGTAAAAATTAATATTTCAATTAACCAAATTACAAAAGTTTCGTGAATAAGGTGAAAGAATTAGCTAAATACAATCAGTCCAAGTTTAAATTAGAAATCGTCTTGTAAAAGAAGTTATCTTTTCCCGTCATTCGAAACTTTGTTCCTCGATTTCTATCATCCTGTCTCCTCGTATACAAAACTAAAATTTCCATAATTTCTATAATACAACTTTATCTCAATCTCATTCTTAATTTCAGCTCTAAAGATAGCTCTATCCCGAAAAGCGATTGTCCCTGTTCTATCAATAGAATAATGAATATAATATTAGGGAGGTTGCGACCGAAGTTTTCATCTTTAAAATGTGTCGAGCGCTTCTATCTTATCACTATTGCTCTATTATTTCGGAAAAATCATCACTAATCTACTCTTCGAACAAAATTCAATATTGTCTATATCATTTCAAGTACAAATAGTAACAAGTCGACCCCCCTATAACACTGTTGATAATTCCGTTTTATATAAATTCCACGTTGTGGGAGTCACTTAGATTTTACAAATACGTGAGCCGTTCACAGCATGGCACACGTATTTGTAAAATCTAAGTAACTCGTACAACATGGAATTCATATAAAACGGAAAAATCAACAGTGTTATAGGTTGTCCACTGTTACTGTACGTGCATTCTACAACTCGGCATCGTCACCACTGGTAAAATAAATTCGTCATTCATATTCAAATTACTATAACACTCGTTCGGCTTCTATTAATTTTACTACACATTTCTTTATTGTCCTCTCGAGAGGAACTTTACCTCCTCTTTGACAGATCGCTCCGTGTTTTGCATTGTTTTATTCCATCAAACTCTTACAATCCTTCCAAAGAAAAATTGTATTGTTTGATAGGATTTTAAGGATTGTAGTACACGTTAATTACATTAGATATTAATTATTAACGTAAAATTATAGCTGAAATAATAGAATATACGGATACTTTTATTTATCGCATCTTCGATATACATGGTTTATGATATATTCCACTTAATATTATCTGAATCATTAGACAGTTATCATAAAATATTCGTTTCTGCGATCTTCTTCTTCCTTCTTACCCAAAGAGAAAACTACAATTAATATCATTATTATTATTACAGTAGAGCGTCGTTTATCCGAATCAATTGGGGACTGGGGTGGTTCGGATAACTTATTTTTCGGATAACGAATCATGTACGAAAATATGTGTTTTTAGGAATACATCAAGACGTGTGTCATGGTATAAGTACTGATATTAGTTATAGAATATAGGTTTATACAGTACTTTCCTTAGTAGAACGTTTCCTTACAAACTCCAGAAATAACATTAATTAATACAAGAGTGTAATGAATGATATCTTCTTTTTTTGTTGTTAAATAAATAAAAATAAACATTTACTCTCATATGGAACGTTTATATCGTTGGCTCCGCGTAAGTTACTCGACTATATTAATTAAAAGATAGTTCCGAGAATTGACGCGCGGAGGCGTCAATTTCCGCACGCTTTCCGGAACAAGATGGCGGCGAAAACATCAAACGGACACCGAACTCTCTCATCTCGTTTCTTTTCTTTTTTCTCTATCGAGGAACGATAGACCCGTCGACGGAAACAGAAGAACGACAGACGGAGGAGATATTTATATTAACTTCAAGAAATAAGTCGATAAAACTCGCCACTTCGTTAAACACGCGAAGCGATTGTCGGAAGAAATTAGGATTAAAATTAGTCGAAAAGATTGTAAAAAAAGGCGGCATGTTTAATTAACGTTCAAGAAATAAGTCGATAAAACTCGCCACTTCGTTAAACACGCGAAGCGATTGTCGGAAGAAATTAGGATTAAAATTAGTCGAAAATATTGTAAAAAAAGGCGATTATGTAAGTAAAAATCGAGTGGAATATAGTTTTACCTCTGGCCATGGCGATTTCTCGAGAGACCGAACGGACGTAAATTATTCCTTCCGAAAGCGAAAACGAAACCTCAGAAAAAATTTCCCGCCGACGACAGATGGCGACACTAGTACCGGCGCAAAAAACGGAACCGGAATCGGCTTTTCCGAAAACGTGCTCCGTCATTCATTTCATCTTCCGGTTCCGAAGCAGTTTGGCATATTAGTGAGGGGGGGTTAGATTAACTGGTGATAAGTGAATAAAATATCTTTTTTAAAAAATATTTGTAATGTTACGGATGTTTGGAAGAGAATCGAGTAGAAAAATTAAAAACGCAAAAATCTCTTCACAATTTCGATCTCTTTCATGCTTCATTTTGTTTTTTTTAATCAGTAAAAGTTGTTAAAATTAAATTTACAGCCACCAGTCACTTAACGACCCACCTGTTTAACGATCATCCTCCAGCATCCTGAATGAGAAAGGGAATTGGCCACGCTTCAGCGCGGGGAATCCCCTTTCACTAGTCTTATTCGTTAGTCTCGTTCCTACAGTCAGTGAGTATTTACTACACGAAGCAATCTCCATATTCCGTTTATAATTTTGTACTTTATTGTACAGTACACTTCATAGTAAGCGATGTTGGTGAAAAGAAAGAGCGTGACTTTATCTGGAGGAAGTGCCAAGAATGGAAGGAAGAACAACAGAGTTGGAAGCGTAGTAGTACTTGGAAGAGGAAAGAATAGAAACACAAAAGAAGTTCATCGTAAAGTGGGTGGCTGGTGGGTTCTCGAAATTAAATGCGGTTATATTAGAACTAGAGGGTATGGGCTGTGTACACGGTCGTCAAACGCCGAGCTAAACGCGCGGTGTGTACGCTGCTAACGCGCGTTTTACGCAACGCAAAACGCCTAATGTGTACACAGCCTAAGACTCCTACTCCTTAAAATACTTCTATCTCTTAGCAGCCATCTTCCTTATCAGGGACCTCTACAGCTACTGATTACGATATCACTTGAAACTATTACCACCCTTATCGAATCCTTCAAAGGATTCGATAAGGGTGGATTTATAGTAATATTTTATCGAATCCTTCATATATATGATATAAAAATTAAAGAAATAGAAGTGTTACTCACATACTTGTTGCGCTTGAACTACGGGATAGCGATGCGGTTCGGGCACCTGTCCGTATCCGTAGTAATGTTGTTGTTGTTGTTGTTGTTGTTGCTGATGATGATGATGATAATAGGTTTGATCGGCCGATGGATAAGGACACGCAGCGGCGATCTGCAGACTGGGGGACGGCGCTGTTTGTTCGTATCCCAGACTAGGATAGCAAGGATAAACTGAGGTGCTGGGAAAGACGGACGGATCGGATGGCACCGATACAGGATTCAGCTGTCGTTCTCCTTCTTCGGCGCTTTCGATGGCACCGCTCAACAGGTAGCCCGTCTCGCTCATCGATACGAACCTTTCCTGCAAAATTACCAAATTCCGGAGATTATACAAATAAATAAAATTTAAATACCTTCCCTGTACATCATACTTTTCCTTTAACAATAGAGTCGTGCCGGTCATCTATCTAACACTTTTCGAGGGAAAATTTTTAAATTGAAATAACGTGACTTCCGGTTTCGGTTTGCATTGGATGTTCTTATATAGTTAATCGGGGTCTTCTACTCCTAAGGTTTCCACATCTGTTTCGTCATTCATCTATCTAACTCCGTTCTGTAGATTAAGAAAAGACTGACAAACGAACTGACAACAGTGAGAATTTATAGGTCTATAATTTTTTTAAATTGCAGCCCAACATCTATGAGCATAAAATTATTTTATTCTCGGCTAAAATTCAGGTGTGTTGTTATAATTAATTGCAATTGCCGAGAGAAAGGTGGATAGTTTCAATGGCGGCACCGGCCAACAAGTATAAGTTATACAGAAAAATTGGGTTAAAGATAGTTAAGACTAGCTGCAAGTTAAAATTCCTTAAGGAGTGTGCTGACAAAAAGATGTTTCCGATGTCTATACACAGGATTAGCCACAGGATTAGCATCCCAAAAGAGTGCATTGCATTAAAGAGAAGGTTCCAAAATACATGTTTACTGTACTTAAGTCAATTAAGCTTTTAAAAAACAAGAAATATGGAATCGTACAGGAATGTATTGAATTAGAAGATACAATATACCAAGAAAATCCAGAATGGTTAAAAGAAATCAACAGCAATGGGGTAAAACTAATAGACCGAGTGAAAAATACAATGGAAAGGAAGTATATCAGAAAGATAAATTGGATTTTAAAGAAACAAGCTCCGAACAAATAGAAAAATAATATAACACAGTATGTTCTTTGGGACCAAATTGAAGTGCCAAAAAATGTAGAGAAAGTGTTTTAACAAAATGGGCCCAATTACGTTCCAAACGACAAAAACACATGGGAAACTTCAATGGCTGAAATGGAAAGAGGGACGAATGGTCTTAATGACGTGGAAAAGGATTATTTTAGATGGAAAATGGTATTCAATGAAAAGGGATCACACAATCTAAAAGTAACAAACAGTTAAGTATAAGGTATACAAAAGAATGGCTAACAAAAAATCGGTGTTAACAAAAGCGGATAGAACCAAGCAAACGGTAATTATAGAAAGAAAACGTTACAATGAAGCCATTAAGAAGACTGAATGTGAAGTTATTGACGAAAATATAGTCCCATTAACGAACAAAAAAGTTAAAAAGCTTAAAAAAGCACCGTTTGCGTTATTCCTGACATTCTTAAAAAGGTCGCATAACCCCAGCCCCCGGGTGCCTAGAATCTTTGCATTCGCAAAGACAAACAAAGAGAACAAGGAAATCAGACCGGTGGTGGAAAAATGTAACGCACCAACATATATACTAGAGAAGCGCTTAAAAAAAGTACATTTATGAAGAGCTAGAGGAAAATAATCATGTGGCTCATGATCCAAATACGAGGTAAGGTGGTAAAAGAATTGCAAGACATAGTACTCATTGAATTTACGGTCCAACACAATCCAATGTTATCGACATACTCGGGGGACTTAAATAATCTAGCAGATTTGATGTGCTGCCAATCCTTTTTTTGGATTCAACGGAGTGACATACAAACAAAAGAAAGGTGTTCCAATGGGAAGTCCCGTGTCAGGACTCCTTTACGAACTAGTAATAGGTAAACAGGAAAAAGACATCCTCAGAGATTTCAGGACATTATATTCTACAAACGTTATGTCGATGACGTGTTTATAATTTGGAAAGATAACCGACGAATTGAAGAATTTTTACTTGCAATCAATAGTAATGATCATGGGTTAAAACTAAAACTAGAATAGAAAAACGATATTCATCTCCATTCTTTGGACATTGATATAAAATTTAAACAAGGAAATGTACAAACAGCGGTATATTAAAAACCCACGCATAATCCTTTATATATACCATCGTGGTCCAACGATCCATATAAGTACAAGTTATCAGCATTTAAGGCACTTATTAAAAGAGCGTTCTTATACGTATTGCACAAACGTTCAAGACCGTCTTACGGAGATTGGTAGAATTAAAAGAATGGCAACAAATTTAGGCTACAAAACCGCGCACAACTGAAGGCCTGGTCAAAAGTTACAGACAACATAAAGGCAAAAAAGATACTTAAGTAGTTGCAATTAACAAATTCACATACAATAAGCTTATAGGAGGAGTGATGAATGAATTGAGTACTTATAAAAACGCAAAAATGGTATATAAAAGAGCACCCAACATGTAAAAATGCAAGAGAAAGCTGGAGTGTATAAAATACCATTTGAAAATCAACAATTAAGAGTAGCAAAGGATTATGTGAGTGTAACCAGAAGAAACTTAGCAATACGTCTGCGAAAACACAGACACAACGTTAATAAAGGGCACAACAAGACCATTTTGGCCATCATGGCGCAGACGGAAGGAAAGAATGTAAAATGGGATGAAACAAAAATTATTAAAACAGTCCAATCCCCAACCATTGCATTAGAGATGGAAAAGATGGAAAGATATAAAAGTAAAATAAAAAAAACCGTTGCCTAAATGCCAAGGATGCTAATCACGCGTAGAGTTAAAATAATGAACTATTTTGTGACTAAAGAACTAAAACCAACATCAAAAAAGAAAAAAAATTCTATTTAGGAGAGATTCCCTGTATCATTCCTACAAAGTTTCACTACTATTTCACCAATGGTTTCTTCTCTACTCTAGGATCTAAGGTAAATGTTTTAAAACTTTTCCGCCACCGCATCGCAGCAACTGCAATAGTTTTAGCTATTGATGCTGTACAAAGACGTGGATGGAAGATTCCTTTAAACTTTTGCAGTTTATTAAAAACTTTAATCTTATGAATTCGGTTCTAAATATTGTGGTACTACTGCAGATTTTTCTCAAATTTCTATTAGTATTGCTTACTATGAGAGTAGTTTTTCTACACTGAAACTGATAAAGAATTACCTAAGATCCTACAATGAACACTGTGCAGTTGAGAAATCTTTCCACACGGACATTTTTTAAGAACTCTTTTTGCCCTGTGGCAATAAGAGGACCCCTTTATCAACTTCCGAAATACCAGACGGATCACCTCTACGAAAAGTTTCTGGGGTTTTCCGCCCACCCGGATTCGATCCAAGGTCCCCAAAGAGGTAGGCTGTCCTTGTCTACCATACTGACTATAGAACAAATGACAGACGGAAATAGATTTCGACAATGTTATCAAAAATTTCCTTAAGAGAAAGAAAGAAAAATAACTGTAAAATGTCTTTATATCACTATATATTTTAACTACATGTAATGATAGGAAATAAATGTCATTGAGAATCTATATATTGTAGTTAATTTTTTCACTTCAGAAATAAATATTGTGTCCTAATTTTTTACAAGTTTTTCTCTGTTATGTTTGATGCGTATTATGTTCTGTTTTTCATGAGAGTAGTAAACTAAAAGACCGCCTCTGACGGCACAAACACTAGCTACACCACTGACTAGCAACACTATTTTCGAAACGATACGCAATGAGAGGCTAGCGTAAACTTGGCTCCCGAATTTTTTCCGATTTTTCATGTAAACTATTGCGATACAAACGGAAATTTTTACAGAAAAATCCAATACAAACAGAACAATCGAAGATTTTAGTTGGTACAAACACTTAGTGGGTGGCTAAGCTGAGAAACTCCTACTAAAAAATAAAGAAGATTTTTCAACCTCCATCAAGTGATCGTAGCATAGATTCATCATCAAGCCGTTCCCCATTACCTGACGGTCCAACTGCAGATCCTGGGATTCTTTCTAAAAGTTATTCCCCTCAAAATGGAATGGCATTGTGTGGACAGTTAGGACCCCATCAATAAGAACACGGAACACTGACGGCAATGAAATATTATTCTTAAACCTGTCGGACCGACCATATTAACTCGATACTACCTCTTATATTGTATAGATAAATTGTATGCATGGCACGTATCCGCATAAATATACTCGTAGTGCTACTAAACGTATCTATCATTGGAGTACAGTACATTCCGATTACGTTCGCTTCCCGTGTAAAATCTGTAGCAAAATATAAATTATAAGAAATGAGGGAGCGACGAAGCCACGATAGATGCAATTAAAGACCCTCTTAGTGTCTTCGGTGTAGAGAGTAATAGTTCTATAAATATTAAGAGCGTCGTGTCCCTACAAGTATCTATGTAAGATGGAAATTATGAAGAAATTAACCGGTGTAGACCGAGAAGTCGATGAAAATATGTTAACTTCCGGGGTTTTAGGAAGGAAATTCCGTCATTATCGACGTAATTAGAGTAGAACCGTAATCACTCAGGTCTTTCCAGAAAAAAACCCGGAGACCCGGAGCTGGGAAAATCCAATACGTGACCCGACTCGACTCCGACAGTCACGAGCCTTTAAATTTCGGTTACCAGGGAGGCGAGTGGCATAGTTACTAAGACAACGGAGCCAACGAAAATAGAAGGATCTATCAGCCTTTACCGAGAATTACTCTAAAAGCAGAAGGTCCAAAACGTCTTTCGACGTTTCATCCTCCCGAACATTCATACTCGTTTTTATAAATAGCAAAATCTCCGGATTTTATTTAAAGGATGCGGAGGAGCACCTCAAGCTGTTACATTCAGGTAAAGAAATTTCAAAGGAAATTTTTGTTTTATTTATCGCGATAGGTCTTAACTGGAACTTTATTTCTTCCCGTTAATTTTTTACGGACTTATATACGAGTTTGAACTCTTCTTATTTTTAAATTTTCGGGATATTTCGGAGGCACCTAAACAGATGCGAGAACGAAACTAGAAATTCAAACGACTCGAATGTCTTCTCTATCGTATTCGACGTTTTTGTAAAGGATATACGTAATATTAAAACTATCTAAAACAACTACAATTAACTTAACTTACTACTTACTTCGAGAATTTTACGAGAAGAATTCGGAGAAACTCGATA